GGCCAGAAGAACTCCATGCTGAGCACTCTCAATCGCATGATGAACGGCATGAATGTGATAATCGATGCGCAGGCAGATCTGCTCTCGGATCCCCGATTCCAGCGCATCTACGAAACGAAATTCGATCTGATGATAATGGGGTATTTCATCAACGATTTCCAGTTGGGAGTGGCTGCCAAGCTGAATGTGCCCGTCATCATAAGCTGGATGAATGCGCCCATACCCATCATAGACGACTTCACTGGCAATCCCATAGAGGTGGCATATGTGCCCAACATGGCCACATTTGCAACGCATCCCATGGGTCTGGTGAAGAGAGCCGAAAACCTGGTCAAGTATCTGTTCCTCAGGTACATGGCCACTGTGCTGGACATCCGAGTGACACGTCACTTTAGGGACAACTTTGGCGAGGAGAAGGGTCTTCGCAGCCTGAGCGAGATGAGGAGAAATATCTCCCTGGCGTTTGTCAATTGCCATCTGATCAGCGAGGGTCCCATCAGGCCTCTGGTGCCTGCCATCGTGGAAATCGGAGGCATTCAGGTTAAGGATACGCCGGATCCACTGCCCAGTGATATTAAACAGTTCCTGGAGAAGTCCAAGGATGGAGCCATTCTCCTCTCTCTGGGCTCGAACGTCAAGAGCACTGCCGTGAAACCTGAAGTGGTGCAGGTAATCTACAAAGCCTTGTCGGGCATCAAACGTAATGTGATTTGGAAGTGGGAGGATCTGGAAAATATTCCCGGCAATGCCTCAAACATACTGTACAAGAAGTGGCTGCCACAGGACGATATCCTGGCGCACCCCAACACGAAACTTTTCATCACCCATGCCGGCAAGGGAGGCATCACCGAGGCGCAGTATCATGGCGTTCCCATGGTGGCTCTGCCCATCTTTGGCGATCAGCTGGGCAATGCCGATCAGATGCAAAACTCCGGCTATGGCCTAGCCCTCGATCTGCAGAGCATCACTGAGGAAAGCCTCACGGCAGCCCTCAAGGAGGTTCTGGAGAATGATAAATACAGGAAGACCATCAGCTCGTTCACCTCGCTGTACCGGGACCGTCCAATGACCGCCAGACAAACGGTTGTCTACTGGACAGAGTACGTACTCCGGCATAGAGGTGCGCCTCATCTGCAGAGCCCGTCCGTTCATATGAGCTTCGTGGAGCTGCATAATCTGGATCTGTATGCTCTGCTGATACCGGTTCTGGCCATCGTAGTGTTCCTGGCTCAGTTGACGTTGCGTTTTGCCTGGAAAAAGCTGATGGGCAAGTCGAAGAGTAACCCAAAGACTGCAAACAAACAGAAGAAGCACTGAATAAAAGTACAATAAATAATTAAGTAATGTAACCACAGAAAGGCCTCATCTACAGCTTTATTTTCCTCTTCAAATAAAGTATAAATGTTTCTATTATTTTTGGACTTTGTAACCTTCGATGGTTATCTAATAATGTTTGCTTTATCTGTTGGGTCTATATTTATTTGGACCACACGTGTTACTTTCAGTGGTGATTCATTCTAGAAACCACCACTGCCAGGCAACAAACACTTGTTTCCGAGTCAGTGGTCATTGCTATTAGCTCAGATCTGAATACCTGATTGGCATAATCTTGTTCTAAAATCACAACAGCAAGTAGATTATTTTTTTTTGGAACGTTTGTTGTCGGCAAACATTTGCCGTTTCATTGTTATAAAGCATTTAAACATTGCTACAGCGCCAGACAAGCGATCGGTTGCCGGTAGCCCTATCGTTGCTGATAAGTTAAATTTGTTATTTTCCAGCCAGACTGGAATTTTTATAAACAACTCAATTGGTTGCCCAGTCATTGCGGCGCAGCGAAAAACGTTTTCCAGTCATATCAATGGCAAATATTTTAACCGTCTTCCAGTTTTCTTTAAGAGGAAATCTATAAAAACTCGTACGCTGGAGAGTACGAGCTCTCAGTCAAGAGTCAAGAGTTGCTTAAGTAAAATGGAAAAATATCTTCCGATTAGCTTGCTAGTGGTTCTCCTGCTGGGCATTGAAACCTCCACCATTGAGGGTGCCAATATCCTAGGAGTATTCAGCAGTTACAGTCCCTCCCATGTGATCGTGCACATGGCTGTGGTGAAGACTCTGGCAGATCGGGGTCACAACATCACAGTGTTGACCCAGATGAAGCCCAAGTTTGAACCACACGAGAACGTCACTGTGATTGTGGCACCACCCTCGCCCGCACAGCAGAGCATCACCAAGGAATATATGGCACGAGTGTCCAGCGAGAAGGAATCTATGTTTAGCTTTATGACTAATTTATTTCTGCGGCCCAGTCCCGTGCTGAATGGACAATACGAGTGGACGCTGCATCCCAAAATAAAGGCCATCTACGAGAATCCCCAGACCAAGTACGATCTGGTAATTCTGGGTCTGATGCTCAACGATTTCCAACTGGGATTTGCGGCAAAGCTTCGCTGTCCGGTGATCATGACGTGGGTGGGAGTGCCCATGCCTGCGATGGATTCGCAGGTGGCAAATATTGATGATCCATCATATGTGCCCAGTCTGAATGTGGCCCTTGAACCAGGGAAACTCTCCATGGGCTTTCGCTTGCGTTGCGTCAACTTTATCACACACTCTTTCCTGAGTACTATAAATGTTTTAATGAGCCACAAGATGCAGGAATTTTACAAGTGAGTATGGAAATTGGTAATTACAGTATTCCATCATTAATTTTCTTTTAATTTCACAGCCAAGCTTTTGCCAAGGATTCAGGCCCGAACTTTCCGTCATACTACGACATGAAGCGACGCATTTCCCTGCTGTTCTACAATTATCATGCACCCAGCGAGGGTCCCATTCGTCCCACAGTTCCGCAATCCATAGAAATTGGAGGGATACAGGTGAAGGAGAAGCCTGATCCTCTACCTAAGGACTTGGCTGAGTTTCTCGACAACGGCACAGACGGAGCCATCTTCTTTAGTCTTGGCACCAATGTCAAATTCAGTGGCATTCGTGCTCAGAGCGTAGAGATTTTGTACAAGGTGCTTTCCAAGCTGCCTCAGCGTGTGGTCTGGAAGTGGGATGACAAGGAGAATACACCAGGAAATGCTTCAAATATTTACTTTGGTAATTGGCTACCCCAAGACGACATCTTGGCGCATCCAAAGACGCGACTCTTCATCACCCATGCGGGTAAGGGTGGGATTGCCGAGGCCCAGTACCATGGAGTTCCCATGTTGGCTTTCCCAATATTCGCCGATCAGCCGGGAAATGCTGAAATAATGGCCAAATCGGGTTTTGGACTCCATCTCGATGTCCTTACACTCACAGAGAAGATTTTGGAGGAGACCATTGGGGAGCTCTTGCTGAATCCCGCGTACCGGGAGAGTGTGGGCAGATTCTCAGCATTGTATCGCGATCGTCCGCTGACTGCTCGCCAATCGGTGGTCTACTGGACTGAGTATGTACTCCGTCACCAGGGCGCCTATAACCTGCAGAGTCCGCTGCTCCACATGAACTTTGTCGCACGCCACAATCTGGATGTATACGGAACCCTTCTGGTATTTTGTTTGGTGGCTCTGCTGATACTACGCATGTTATTCCGATTTGTATTTCGCAAAGTTTTAAGAGTTGTGCGTGGCCACTATCGGGCGAAAGCCTCGAAGAACAAGCTTAAAGATAAGATATTATAATCAACACCTCTCTCGTGCAAATCTAGTTCAAAAGGGGAAGGAGTTATTGCATAAAATGAGTCAGTAATTGCTAGGGCTAAGTAATACATATAATTTGTAATGAAATAATAATAATTGACAAACGTAAGCTTAGTACACATGTGCCAAGTTCAGCGGCAAACGAATTTAGTCACTAAATCACAATATTTTCATCATATTCGTAGAATAATAATTTCAACAAGAGAGTGCTCAAAAACATTGGAAAATGATTAATTAGAGAGTCGACTATAGCAATTCCCTACCAAATAATTTACTTCATTTTACTAGATTTTTGTACTATTAAGAAAGAATTTGACTGGACGTTTAATATTACATATGGTAAATTCTTTTATCACTCGAACTTATGTATAACTACCAATGACCGATCGTTTCTTTCAAAGGGGCTCGACGTGTGTATTGCGTGTGTAAACAAATGTATGTAAATGTGAGCATAGTTTAAGTAAAATATATTCAAAATTTAAAAACAGGTTAGCGAACATAATTTAGAGACAAAACCTACCCGACTGTGGCTCAAAATCTACATAATTACATATGTATGTTTTATAGGAAAACAAACAGTTTCATGCAAGCGCAGCCATTTGCTGATTGAATGGAATACGCAACGAAAGTGTGCACGCCAGAACACGCTGTCCCATTAAAAACGCCCAGAGAGCGAGAGTGAGAGTGAGAAAGAGCAAGAGTGCATAAAGATCAACGTAGAACAAAAGAGCGCGAGTGTGTGTGATGCACCATCAACAATAACAAAGCAAGGGCTCAATGAGAGCGGCAAAAGCTTTGCTGGAAAGCATGACTGGACAGAAAGCATTCACCACTTAAGTCTTCTGTCTGTGCTGAGAGGCAGGGAGAGAGCCACCGTGCAATCCGAATTAATTGCTTACACTGGCACTTGCTTGCAAAGTACAGTGTGTTACACAACTGTATTTGTAATAGTTAACAAAACTTACAAGTGTTTCTGATGATAGTGTTTCATCCTTGCAGAGGGTATTTCCTTAATTTACCTATAATTATAGCTTTGAAACCAGTTGTCATGCTGATACCCAATCGATTATCATTTAGCGTTATCGTTAACATATTATTAACAGATAATGATTATATTGACCTGCATTATAGCATTTATAGTTATGTCACACGGCGTACGCGAGCTTCCCCTCCAAGCTTAACAGGTGGCCTCCCACTCTCTCTCACCCTATTTATTTATAGATATGTCCCTCTCACTGCCAATCGACTCTCTTTCGCTCCCACTCAGATCGTTTCCGATCGCAGCGATTCGATTCGGATTCGGATTCGGATTCAAATTCTCAGTGAGTCGCAGCACAACGCGTGCCCGAAAGCGTATTGTTTTCCAAATTTGTTGTCTAGTATTTAATAGTGTTTTGTTGCTGCGTGTTTTGTCTCTGTATATAGCCAAGAGGTATTTAGAATATCTATAATATAATTTTTTGTTAAAGTCATCAGTTGAGTGCCAACTTAATGAAACACTAGTTAACCTCTAAATTGACATTGCTTGTAAGAATATTTGCTCTTTAACCCACTCGCACGTGCCGTTCTGTGATGAGTGTATAATATCGAGCATTTTCCTAACGGCTTTGAAATTTCAAAATATTAGTTATTATTGCAAAAGTCCGTTTTGAGTGATGATAAATGCTGATCTTTTTTTTTGTGTGGTTGTGACGAAATTGTTATTTAGAGAGAGTGGCCGACTGACCTCAAATAGTCGTCAAAACCTTACTTCTGTTTGAAACATTTGTTGCCAACTTATCAATACACCAGAATTTTTTTCAGATTAAACGACTAAAAAAATCTTATCAGTGTGTTATCGCCTCTGCCGACAACCTATAAGATACGAGCCAAAGTATAGAAACCGATCAGTATAGACGCGGACATCAGCGAACCATGAGTGGAAATCGAAACACATTGATGGGGTGCAGCTTGGGCGGTGTGCTGCTCGCACTGCTGGCCCTGCACTCCCTGCCCCAGAGCAGCGAGGGATCCAATATTCTGGGTGTGTTCACCAGTCACAGCCCATCGCATTTCATAGTGCACATGTCCATCATGAAGACGCTTGCCGAGAAGGGACACAATGTGACAGTGGTGTCATCGGTGCCGCCGAAGGTGACCCACAAGAGCATCAAGCACATTGTCCTTCCATTGAGGGACGAGGATGAGAAGATGATCCACGGTGGCATGGTGGATATGGTCAAGCAGAAGCCCTCCATTTGGACTACCATGAAATCGATTCTTGGTTCGCTTTCCCTGCTTATAAACACACAAGTGGATACCCTGGAGGACAAGCGTTTCACGGATCTCTACAACAACAAGGACAACAAATTCGATGTGCTCTTTGTGGGCTTCTTCTTCAATACTTATCAGGTGGGGCTGGGTGCAAAATTTAATTGTCCATTGATTATTTCGTGGATGTCACCGCCCTTGAGTATGGTCAATGAACTGATTGGAAATCCGGAGCTGTCAAGTGTCCCCCAAATGCAAATATCCGTTGCAGCAGGCAAACCCATGAACTTCCAGCAGCGTGTCGCGAATTTCTTCAGCACTGCCGGTTTCGGATTGCTAGGAAAAATTCTTGACCACAGATACAAGGGATTCTATGAGTGAGTATAAATGGCACAGCCGTATTTTTCCATTCACTCATATTAGTTTTACTTTATTACTCATATTGCCACCCAAAGCAAAAATCATTTGAAAATAATCAAACCAGCACAACCGAACTGGTGTTCTGTTTAATAGTACATAAAACAAGCTTATCTATAATCTATAATCTTTATTAATTTGGAACTCATTCTTCTCTTTTTTGCTGCTACAGACGCCTTTGGGGCGATGACAAGAACATGCCCAGCCTCGAGACAGCAAAGAAGAACGTCTCTCTGGTCTTCTGCAACAGTCATGGCATCAGCGAGGGTCCCGTCCGTCCGAATGTGCCCGCCATTATCGAAATCGGTGGCATTCAAGTCAAGAGCAAGCCGGATCCTTTGCCAGAGGATATCAAGGAGTTCATGGATAATGCCAAAAATGGAGCAATTCTGTTCAGTCTTGGCTCGAATCTCAAGGCCGAGTATTTCAAGCCTGAAGTGGTGTCAACCATCTACAAGACTCTGTCCAGCCTGAAGCAGCGTGTGATCTGGAAGTGGGAGGATCCCAAGAACACCCCCGGCAAGTCTGCAAACATACTGTACAAAAAGTGGCTGCCCCAGGATGATATCCTGGCCCATCCCAAGCTCAAGCTCTTCATCACGCATGCGGGCAAGGGTGGCATGGCCGAGGCCCAGTACCATGGAGTGCCAATGCTGGCCCTGCCCGTCTTCGCCGATCAGCCGGGAAATGCAGACAAGATAGTGGAGAACGGCTATGGCCTGCGCTTGGAGCTCACCTCCCTGGACGTTAAGGAGTTCAAGGAGGCCATCAATGAAATTGTCAACAACCCAAAGTATGCCAAAAAGGTGCAGACGTTCTCCAAATTGTATCGCGATCGCCCGCAGACACCCCAGGAGTCGGTTGTCTACTGGACAGAGTATGTAATCCGTCACCATGGCGCTCCTCACATGCAGAGTCCTCTGGTCCATATGGGCATTATCGCTAGCAACAATCTGGATATTTATGTCCTCGTGGCACTGGCACTATATCTGATCTTCCTCATCAACAAGGTTGTGTGGACGTTTTTGTGGAGAAAATGTACCGGAAAATCGAAGAAAGCGCCACAGAACAAGAAGGTTAAAAAGCAATAAGCAATAGCACTGATAGAATGCTAAGAATTTTATTTTAAATCGAATTAAAAACTTATTTAAAAGCGATAAACGACAAATAAAATTTAAAAACGAATAAACGAAAAAAAATCAAATAAAAAAAAGATTATAAAAACTCAAGTGTCTTATATTTAATTTGTTCGGACAATAAAGCAGAATTTTGGGTGCTGCTCATCCAACCACTAGGTATATTGTCATTTACCTTATCATTTTGTTACCAGTTTCCCGTCACGTCTCCACTCAGTTCAAGTGCTGTGACAGATTATCCGTCAGATTATCTGAATTGGATTTGAAATGTGTAACATAATATCTGCTGCTGCGCTGCCACAAGCTCAAACTAACGCACATTTATAACGCCCCCGTTCACACTGCATTGCATGAGATTCCCGTGAGGCTATCTCTGTGTGTGTAGTGTCATACGGCCATACAAATTTGAACTAGTTGCAAAAGCTTTCTCTGAACTCCGACAGAGGGCGCCAGTGTAGAGTGTATTTATCATTTCATGTAGGAGGAGGCATTAACTGAACGCATATTTAACGGTTCTTACTGAGAAAACTATTTATTTATTTATTTACTGCTTCGCTGCTCTCCCGATTGGCCTCAATCTCGGTGGCATTTTTCAAATCGTTCTCCAGCTGAAATTTGGTATAAACTTCCGAGCTCCGACCCACACCCAGCTGGGCGTGTATGCTGTCCATTAGGTTGGCCAGGAGTCGGCTCTCGTTGTGGTTGAACAGTTCGCTTTGGGTGCTGCCATTCAGAATGCAATTTCGCACCTCCTCCGCCTCGTAGCACATGCCCAAGCGGTTGTGATAGTGGGTGGTGACCTCCCCGCCGCCAGGCAGTGGGAACTCGTAGTCCGTGTCCTCGGTAACGAGCCGCGTGGGACACCAATAGTTGGTCATCTGAGGAAGGAAAGAGTTCTATAGAAGAGATCAAGGAAATATCTGTGCACACACCTTGATGCTGCCCGACTTGCCCTGGATGATGGCCTTGTTGCTCAGCTTCTCCTCGGCACTCACCTCGATGCTGGCCCAGCGATTTTGGCTAAAACCCAGCTCTATATTGGCCACCACATCGATACCCTCCTCGTTGAGCTTCCCCGTGGCCCGCACCTTCTCTGGCACTTCCCGATACACCCACAGCGCCAGCTGCAGCCCATACACACCGAAATCGCTCGCCACACCCCCGTACAGGGCCAACTTGCTCTGCGACACGGCCAGACCGAGGCTGCAGTGGACATTCTGTATGTCGCCCAAACGATTGCGCATAATCTGATGGCGCAGAAAGTGATAGGCGGGCACACAGCGTGGCCACATGCCCTCCATGAGGAAGAGACCGCGTGCCTGGGCTTTCTGCAGCAGCTTCTCTGCCTTCGACTCGCTCATGCAGATCGGTTTCTCGCACAGCACGTGCTTGTCGTGGTTCAGCATCAGGTGGCAGAGTTCACAGTGCAGCGGATTCAGCGGCGATATGTACACAACATCTGACCCAAAGGAAGTAGAATTGTTATACACACAGAAAATGTTCTACAGATACTCACCCACGCTGGGACACTTGGCTAGATCCTCAAAGCTGGTGTAAACGTTCCTCACTTGATATTTATCCGCAAAGGCTAGGGCATGTGAACGATAGGCCGCTGCACACGAGACAATCTCGTGGCGGTGTGGTGGCAGGACAGTCAAAGCGGCAGCAAAGTCATCTGCCATGAGGCTGACCGGCGCTATTCCCCACCTCAAAGTTCGGACCTCGTCCGTCTGCGATTTGTAATCTCCCAAGTGGTTTTTGGAGCTGTCACTGGAGTTGCCTTTGTTGCCAGCACTTCGATCATTGCCGCCGCCGAATCGATTGATGTGCAACAGTCGTGGGCGTGGCCTGCACATAATGATGTGGTGGCTGCCTCCACCTCGGCAGTGCCGGCTTTCCGAGGCGTGTTGTGTGGACGAGCGCTGGACGGTGGAGAGTACATCTGTGGGGGGAGAGGAGACAGGCAGTCCGGGCAGAGATTAGTCACCTTATAGAGTGAAAACTACGACAAGTCGGAGTTGAGTTCGGTTGCGACTTTGTTGTTTGTCGCGTAAAACGCATTTCATTCATACAATCGAGCGTTTTTCCACGAATTGGCGAAATTGCGGGTGTTTGTTTGGGTCTCGGCAACCGGTCCCCGGTTGCCCGGTGTGTGCTGCCTGGGTTGGGATTCGATGGGACCATCTACGTCGAAACCAAGACGACTGGTGCATTATGTGGCGCTGTTTAGTGCGTCAGTTCCTCCATAATTAGTCATATTTGTTTAGCATCAAAAACTTGCGATAACTCGCGGCGTAGCGCAACGGATCGGATGGCATCGCATCGCATCGCATCGCATCGGATCGAATCGGAGATCGGGTCTGGTTTTTTGTTGTTGGTGTTGCTTTTGGCCTGGTCCTGGCCAAGTTAGGCGCTACCTGGGCCTCGCACTTTGCGCCGCGTTCTGTCCGCATTCGAATTTCACTTTCTTTTTTAGAAACTAAGCATCGCACTGTTTGTATATTTATCACTGTACGAGGTGTCATGAGGGGTAGCTTCGCTTTGTTGTGGTGATGGGCCTTGTCTTAGTGCTGTGATTGTGCGTTGTGGGGTATTCAATTGCAAGAGGGATTTAAATGTTATATTTCATTTATTACCAAAACAAGATGAATGTAGCCCATAACTTACAGAATCCCTTCATCTGTCTCTCTTCCTTTTATGTTTCTCACTCTCATCTTTCTGCCTAGGCATACCCTCAAAACTATTCACATAAATCCAATAGAAAGAGCATCCAACATTCATCATTTCTTCCTAGCGTAGCAGCCACCTTTCGCAGCTTATTTCACTTTTCAATAATTCGAGTGCGTGCAACAATGTCCAGGGGTACGTACGTACGTACAACACCAAAAACCCAACACATACACATGAAAATTTGTTTATCTAATTAGCGATGCACCGGGGCGACAGCAAAGACAGCCGCCGCAGTGCTTTTCACCTGATTTGGCATGCATGGCAGGTGCTTTGGCCAGTGGCAAGTCGATGGCCGTAGAAATTGCCCTAACCCAAATGCAAAATAATAAAAATATGGGTTTGAGTGCTGTATTTATGGTTAGCCAATGAACGAAAGTGTTCTTTGGGTGTGTGCAGACGCACCAAAACAACTCAACACAAAAACAGGTAGGAATGCCATTGTGGAGTGTCGAGGCATACCCATTACTCAGATTTAAGTTTCTGAGATGTGCCTGCAAGTAGAAAGTTATCTAATTGGCATGCAGCCAGGCAGGTGAATCAATCAAGACAATGAGAACAAAGTTAAATGAGAAATGGCAAAGCTGAAGGCGTTTTATAAGATTAAGATGATATTTACTTGAATCTTTATTGGATTAAAATGGTCTTTAAGGCTTGTATGCCCATGGGATATACGGATATCATCCTGCGCGTTACATAAATCTCCACAAATACAACATACCCCATCGGTCGTCGGTCGTTGGTCGTCTACCAGTATCTTGGCCATACGAAAAACTCTCGCCAGTTGCCGGAAGTGCCTCTATGTATGGGCGACCAAGTGGGAGTGTGTGCGTGTGGGTGAAATTATGCGCCAGTGAAAGGTTGCCTAATTTCTGTCATTAAACGGCACGAGCACGAGCTGAGCTGGAAATCCAACTGGAGTTGGTAGTTGTAGCTAGAGCAGGAGTAGCTGTAGGAGCTGTAGTAGGCCAGGCCACGGATGACAGCCGGAGCACACAAATTTGCCATGCGTGCGGCTTTTGATGACTCTTTCCACAGAGAGCGACGACATGGCCGGAGACAACATGTTCATTAAAGCCAGAGCGAGACTGCCAGGCTGCCAGGCTGCCAGGCTTTGGCAGCATACGAGTGGCATCCCCTTCGTGCACCGACAAAGCAAATAAATACTAAAATTTGCATGCCTGCAACATAAATCGTCGCAAAATATTAAACAAGTCAGCAGCAACAGTTGAAATCAATAAATTTATTGATACAATTTATACGGCTGAGTGGGCCTCAGCCACAGCCACAGTCTCAGCCACAGCCACAGTCTCAGCCAGAGCAACAGCAACAATGTTTGCTTAGTGGCAAGTTGCAGGCTTCGAGCTAGTTGGCAACATGCAGCACAGCCTCATGCAACACATGCGCTAATTAAGGGGGGGGGCGCACAAACCACTGGCGGGGGTGCCTGCATCGGCTCTAGACACTCGGCGATGGCCTTGCAGAGCAGAAACAAGTTAATGCGGCTAACCAAGTGACCAACTCTGACTGAGGAAATTCGTTTGAATTCGCTTTGGCAAGGGAGGGGAATGAAAATGATTTGCCAAGGCTCCATCCTTAATTTGTCTTGAGCAGAAAATTAAAATTAATAATTGGGGGACTTCAATTATAGACGCTAGGAATAACTGGCTACCAAATCTTGTTCAGTATTTTTATAAAGCTCGAGAGGTTGATTGGTAATTATGATATATATATCTAAGGCTCTTAACTCCACCGAAGAATACAAAACATACATTTACTTAATTTTGAAAAAGAAAGTGGATTGAATTGCGATCACTTGTTATTCAGCACCCATTGACATGAGCATACATTATGGGTAGGTAAAAGCCATTCTAGGTTGTGAAAGTCATGTGTCAAGTTCGTTGCCAAAGTCTTTTGATTTGCAATTTTGTCTGCAGTTTCGTTTATGTTGCGCCTTAATTGACACCTTCAGTTTTGTGCAGAAATATGCAGAAAACAAAGGAAGGCTTTGAGGCCTAGCAACAACAAAAGGCAACACGTCAGGTGCTGGTGTTTCCCCTACTCACTCCTCTCCCCCCTGACAACACCTTCCTCTCTCACACCCATCAAATACGCACACGCCCATGGGGCAGAAGAGACAGCAACAGCCAACAGCAACAGCCAACAGCAACAGCGAACAGCGGCAACGTCAACAATTGACAGTCAGTCATGTCATGACTATTGCCAATTGTTTCTGTCTGCTGTTGCCTGTGGCCCGAAGCTCTTAACATATTTTACGATTTGTGGCCCCAGGTAGAAATTTATTTGGCCACAAATTTCGGGTGTTTTTTTATGCAACCGACACAAAAAAAACGAAAAGCGAAAGTGCAGAAAAACAGAACCAACATTCTTGGGAAACGAAACAATGTGCCAGGCAGTGGATATCTGAGGCTGACTTGAATGCGAAACAGCTGCAGCAACAACAGCAGTGTTGCAGATACATGTATCTTCAATGTGTTGGGCTGCACTCCAAACATGTTGCCGGAAAAGGTGTGAAATACTTTAAGGAAGGTTAAAGGTTCCTGTTTGCTGCTGCTGTTGCCCATTTGCAGTTTGTTAACATTGACATTTTAATTTAATTAATTAACATCTACATTTGTATGTACACATATTCTGAGTACTCCTATATTAGCTCGTGGAAAATGGTCTAAAATATGGAAATTTGCTTAGGAAATTTGTGAAGCGAATCAAGGTAATTTGCACAATATTTTCGACTAATATGGACCATAAAATATCAATAAATATGATTGAACAAAAAGCATTGGCAGGGACATCAGCAACAACAACAACTGCAGCAACAGCAACAAACACCAAAAACCACAACACCAACAGAGACTCTTCACAAAAGCTACTTCAACAGCTACAACAAAACACCAAACAGGCAACAAAACACAAACAACAAAAACAAAAAAAAAGCGAAAAGACGACAACTTTGGTGACGCGTCGCGACGTCAGCGTCGATAGAGACAGAGAGAGACAGCAACAAGTGCAACAACAGTGCAGACTTGTCTGGTGGTTCGGCTGGCAGTCGCTGCCACTGCTAGCGTCGCTGCCTCTTTTAACAGTTTCGAATTTGAGTTTTGGCCAAGACAACGCGAAATCAGTTAACAAACGGACGCGATTTGAAACGGATGCACTGGCAGCAGACAGCAGCGAGACCGATCACAAAACCTGAAGATCCTCCATAAAAGTCCCCGTCAGAGACGAACGCCGAACACACAAAAATCAAAGTCGTAGCCGAAGCAGAAGCCGAAGCCGTGCGAATGTCTGTCGTCGGTTCAGGTGTACGAATAAGAAGCTCCCAGAGCCACCTTGGCCGCCGCTACGAGTATCTTCATCGGTCGCGCTGGTCGTTTAAAAGTGAAATTTACTGAATGAAATGAAATGAAATGTTTTCTTGAAAGCCCCATCCTCAGTGCCCGAGTCCGAGCCCGGCCAATTGTGTATGGTGAATCGTGTTTGTGTGTTTGATTATTGATTTGTGACAATTGTCAGCCAGGAAATGGCTGCAAATTAATCAAATAAAACCATTCACAAGAAGGATTATAAACCGAATACAAAAAAGAAAATACAATTTGAGAATCATCGCACCAGAGCGAACTGCATTGAATGGTAAGTGCTTTGGCAGAAACCAGATGATGTAAGATCCTGCTTAGATTGTGTAAGCCAGTGAAAGTGAGTGAAAGAATCAGTGGTTGAAGTGAATGTGGTTCTCGAGAGGTTGCAAAGTGATTGATGGATGCGATGCTTAAAGATGATTGTTGACAAAAGGAATTCGTTTATGGAGTGCAAGTTTGGATGGGTGTGGGGGATCTTTTGTTGCCTCTAATATGGTGAAATATTTATTGAAAAATAAAGCAAGGATTGTTCTGCATCCTTTTTGATCACTTCATATCCCGCACAATCCCCGCACAAACACGTTGGATGTGTGCTCCCCACATTATCTAGAGTCCAACTAACATGTTGAAGAGTGATTTAAGATCCTGTTCGATCATCTAAGACCATGTTTGATCACTTATGATTGTGTTGAGACATATTGAAGATCAGTAAAAATCATGTCTGGTCGCCAGTAGTCATGTAAAGTCATGATCGGTTTGCACATTTGAATGAGCACTGAAGATTGCTTAACAACATGTTAAGTGCTCATGTATGACCACTATAGTTGATGTACGATCGATGTAAAGATCGTGTTAAATCCGATATGTACGAGCAATTAAGAGCGAATACCAGATCCCTCAACCAACATTGGTTCAAGATTGATGATTCAACCTCAGCATAATGATTTTTATATGGTTCATCTATCACGGAAAGTCGTATCCATTTCAGCCTTGGCCATCGAGAACTGCAGTCACGACTCATTTTCGACCATTACCATGAGCTGGTTGGCCATTTTGCACGCATTTTCCATCAATCAACTCTCGGAACTCTCGGTTTTCAATGGTCCAGCGAGTAATCCGTGAGTGCGGATGTTGCACATAAATTCCCCTTTTTCTTTGCCAGCGAAATCGAATCTTTCCTTCTCACTTTACGATCTTTGTGCAAAGAATTAAGACACTGCATAAAGTTAAGCTGGCGCTTGCTGGCGACAAAACAAACGAACATCACGCATACGCCATGTGTGTTGGCCATAGAGAGGGAGATGGAGATGGAGAGGGAGAGGGAGATGGTGATGAAGCGAAAGGGAGACCCAACAGCTACTTGATTTTCCAGGCACTCCTGCAGCTCGGCACATTTATCTTTCACTTAAAGTGAAGATGACATTCTTTAAATGAAATTAACTGCCGGCAAACAAAAAGCCAGCAACTGCCAGGCCGCTGCTGATGCTTGATGCTTGATGCTTGCTGCTGATGCTGATGCGATGCTGCTTGATGCTGCTTCTGTTGCAGCTGCTTTGGCTGCAATTAGTATTTGTCTTTGGCTAATACGCTGCCATGTTGGTATGCATCTCAGTGCGCCAGTTTCTTGCAGTTGTTGCTGCTGCGGCTGCTGCTCCTCATGCAGTTTTTTTCTTGACCAGTTGTCGCCGTTGTTGATTTTAATACACTTAAAGAGGGTATTAGGGTTTTGAGCAGGGGTTTGCTATCGAAGGAGGAAATATATGTATATTCTTTCTCAGCAAAAGGAGAGAGCTGAAGAAGTAGTTCAACCTGCGATACATTTTGTGCTTAACATAAACTGAATCTCATATATTTTGTAGCAAGAGTATCTAAATCGTCGGCCCTTGGTTGCACCTTCAGTTCAGCTTTTTGTTGTTTTTTACTTAACGCATAAAAAGTGTCGCGCACTTGAATGAATCTCTGGCTTTGGCTGCAGCTTCAGCTTCGGCTCTCTGGCTCTAACTCCGACTTGATCTTTGCTTCGGTTGTTTGTCTATTTATTGGTCTGTTTGTTTGCTCATCGGCTTTTTGTGGCTGCTTTTTTTACACTCAATGGCCTAAGCCGGCCACTTAACAGCTGTCGCTTTGAGTGCATCTCTCACTCCATCTATATCGCTCGCCGTCCCTGTCTCCATTGAGCCTTTTGGGTCTGTTTGCTGTGGGCAGCCCGAGCACCCGGGCACCCGAACAGGCAGCCAGCTTTTGAGTGACTGAGTGGTGGCTTTTAAGAGACATCAATTGAAAGTGCTTGGAATGCATTTATGATAGCGGGGGAATAAAGTTGCTGTCTTCGCATACTTTGTGCGATGTGTGGGATGCGTTTGATTGGCTGCAATCAGAGTGGAGTCCGGAGACCCATGAAAGTTGATTTAACTTTGGGTGGCTTTAATTTACCAAATACACTCTGATAAACTGTCTTTGGACAAGCGTTAGAGTTGGTAAGTCCTTCAACTTGTGAAAGGATGAATTGAGATAGCTTGGAGCATAAGTGATTGGACTCCATTTACGACTGAAAATGCATTAGCTTCAGTTTTAAAGTACTCTTCAGTATTGTTTCCATGGATTATCTCTTCATCACGCTCTTCCACTCTTTTGTTTACCATTTCAAGTATTCTCTTCACTCATTACATTCAAGGGCAGCAATTGACGACCACAAAAGCAGCTTTCAGCACTCGCTGGTACTTAAGACTGTATCGGATCATCACATAATACCCTATCATAACACTCACTTAGCTGCCAACACATTTCACTTGCCATGTAAACACATTCGAGTGAAATAACACAGAAATTATGCGTAATTAAATGCATTACAAAGTGACTCTGGCTTATGCAAATGGCTTGTAACACAATGAAGAAAATTAAATGTCTTCCACGTGAATGTGAGGTCTAAATTACTGTCGCATGAAACACGTTTTGGGGTCTGAAGTGTGAACTCCCTTTAAGATTGGTTGTTCGCAGCTTTGGCATGGATTAAGTGAGAAAATTTGTCTGAGAGTTCAATTAATTTACAGCTGTTAAAAGTTTATTGGCTCTTTTATTGGCTACTATGGAAACTCAGGATGGAAACTCTTTCAGATTCCGCATCAAAATGCCTCATACACACAAACATTTCTTAAATAAAATCAACAAGAAGGTTCTGCCGTCATTCAAGAATTGTTTGTCTACGGTTTTCCCAAAGTACGATTACAAAGTACGTTTATTTGATCAGTGATACATCCACACAGTGGTTAAGCAGCGGTTCTGGCTTATAGTTCTTCTGGCAAGAAAGGTATAAAAGAGCTCTGGAGGCAGTGAAAGTTATCACAGTTTCAGCTTGAACTTCCAACCAACATGCGTTTCCACATCTTGATTCTGCTCTTTGCCCTGTTTGCCATGGTGGCAGCTCAAGGAAGGCCACAGAGAGGTCCACAACAGGGAGGATCCCAGGGTCGTCCACAATTTGGACGTCCATCAAATGGAACAGCCACTACTGAAGTCAGCAGCACTGCGGACAGCAGCACCACTGAGGTTGCTTTGTCCTAGGATGTGCATAAACCCTAACCAAATCCCAATCCGATATTAATAAAAGTTTTCCTGCAAGAATTTCATGTTTATCACACTTTTTCTGATACAACTCATACAAGACATTTGCTAGAAGCAATTTCTGCCTAGGAAAAGAGCAGGATTTTGTCTGGTTTTAGCTCGTACTCTTTCTGAGTATCAGTATACCCTCTGCAAAGGGTAGTTAAATGTATGCCTATTGCATAATGCTATGGCATTATGGAGCATTTTCCGTTTAATCATTTCGGGTAATCATTGCTCCCAATACTTGGAATTTGTTTCTTCGAAAAGTAAGCAAAACAAATGACATACAATTGTGCATGACACCTCCCCTTCCGGATGCCTGCCTGCTGCAGCACGCACTATTCCCCCCCCCTGGAGGGGTTGATCTGGATGTCGTCGGCGAGTTTTATTTGATTTTAATTGCTGCCATAGCAAGATGTTTGCCGTTTAATGGCTTTATTTATGCGTGTAGTAATCAAGTTAATTTTTACGATTGCCGCCGAGCGACTCAGAGGTAACAGCGGCGACACCGGCTACAAGAAACCCGTAGAGCCCGCTGCAAAATAAATGCAAATTTTCTTTTATGATCAAAAATCACAAGTTTCACTTTCGATGGGAACGAAATGCAGCAGGCGAAGTGCATGCCGAAAAAAGTAAGTAAATTTCAGAAAGAAAGAAAAGACGAGACAAAGATGACAAGCGACTGCGGAGAGCAAGCAAATGATGATGATAAGAAGCCCTTAGGACATGTTCGCAAAAAAGAATCAGCGAGGCAGGAAGAGAAACGCCAGCAGAGAGAGAGAGAGAGAGAGAGAGGAGAACAGCGGGAGAGCTGACGTTGGGATGGGAGGAGGCGAGCGATATAGAAAGAGCAGGCAGGCAGCTCGAAAGCTCAGCAGAGTGGCAGCGAGACAGGAAGAGTCCCGTTGCGGAAGAAAGGTACAGTGAGGGAATGGAGAATGGAAAGGGAGTAATAAAGCTTTGGTCAAAGATGCCGGCGCCCGCCCAAGTCGTGGGCAGATGTCAGACCCTAGTCAGAGTCTTCCCAGAGGGAGTCTGGTTTGCCACGGACTGGCGTCTGCCTTTTGTCCTGAAGTGCCATAAATTATGAATTAAACGTTTAAAAATTTCAGTTTTTTAATGAGTTTTGCATCGGATAAACCTTAGCAACCTTAGAAACCTTGAAAGAAACTAATTGGAGACTGATAAACAGATAAAGATTTGTTTTTTTCTACGTAATTAATTGAATTAAATGTTAAATATTGTTCCCTCCTAACTCTTTTAATTGCAATAAAATCTGTAAATCTTTCGACCATTTTAACAATGCTTAAAAACCTTAAACTTTAATTTGATCGAAAATACCCCAACACTCTCTCGCTCTCTCTCTTTAATTTCTCTCATCAACCATCAACCACATCTGATCAATTTATAATTTACAACGTTTAGCGTTTTTGTTAAATTATTTTAGATAAATAAATATTTAAGCTAAGTGAAAGGTTGAATTTCCTCGCTGCTCAATCAGCAAACATTAATCAATTTTTATTGTACACCATGTGGTAGCCCATTTCGAGTAAATTAACTTCCCAGCAATCTGGATAACAACCTGTTGAGAGAGTGTCCATTGAAATAGTGGGCTTACTTCCTCGTTCACCTGCGTTATTCAATATTTAAGAATACATTTACACTGGCCCGGTTGCAGTCGATCTGTTGGGGGGCCATATTAAATCATCGCCAAAGCCATAACCGAAACTCAGGTCTACAATTTATAAAATTCCAGATAACAGAAGAAAAACCAAAGGCGATCAACGAACCGAACCAAGATGATAAGTGAACGCCACAAGAGCCACAATTTGGTTACGATACTCTGTCTGGGCTGCTCCCTGCTGCTGCTGCTGCAGCTCCTCGCGGCCGCACCTCTTGTCGACGCAGCCTCAGCCGGCGGAGTCTTCGAGGTCTTGGCTCAATCAACAGTGTCAGAGACGGAGGCGACCACGACAACCAAAACAACGACGGTGACGGCAACGCCGACGAAGACAAATGCCAGTCAGGATGAGGTTGGTCAGCCACAGCCACAGCCACTGACGCCCGGTGCGACAACAGGTGAGCAATGAACCGCAGCACAAAAAAAGCAAAGAAAAATCACACACAAAAAATGAAAAAAATATGAAAGATTTGCACTTTGATTTTGTTTCACCAACATAATTGGGAGAGCAGTGAGTGGAGGTCCACCGGGGGAGCGCTATTTTAATGGCCAGCATTAGGAGATCAAACAATTTGGAACGCAATCATGCGAGGCATTTTAATGCGAATGAAAGTGAAAATCGTCTGGCAACATTGTTTCGTGGTCACTGGCAATTATGCAAGGATGAATGGGATACAGATACGAGTAGCATGCACTCAATCCGATTGGCTTGCCAAGGCTGGGAGTGGACTGCACTGAACTACTTACTGCGCGTAGGTAGGCGCCCACCTCGAAAATGCGCAACGACAAGATAATAGCATGGAAAGGAAGACAAGACGCGTGAAATACTCTTTCCATGCAACAGAAAAATCCCCCACATCGGCAAACAAAAACCAGAACTTTGGGAAACGTAACAAGAGCAGCTGTGGATCGATGACGCAGATGAAAAACAGTCAAGATCTAGTCGCTGGCTCCGACAATGTTTGTCAAAGGTTTTTCCAAAGTACGAGTACAATTTACGTTTATTTGAACAGTGATACATCCAGCTGTTCTGGCTCATAGTTCTTCTGGCAAGAAAGGTATAAAAGAGCTCTGGAGGCAGTCAAAGGTATCACAGTTTCAGCTTGAACTTCCAACCAACATGCGTTTCCACATCTTGATTCTGCTCTTTGCCCTGTTTGCCATGGTGGCTGCTCAAGGAAGGCCACAGAGACGTCCACAACAGGGAGGATCCCAGGGTCGTCCACAATTTGGACGTCCATCAAATGGAACAGCCACTACAGAAGTCAGCACCACTGCGGACGGCAGCACCACTGTAACGGCCTTATCCTAAGCTGATCGAGAACCCAAACCCAAATTCCAATCTGATATTAATAAAAGTTTTCCGGCAAGAATTCAATATTTTTCATATATAATCCTCAGGAATAGCCTCACCTTTGTCCAATTCGGCATACTCTCTCTATATCAAGGGTATAAAATGCAATTTAGAAGCAGATCAAGATGCATGGCTGGCCATTTCCGCCTAGGCCAAGTGCAGGTCCTCATGCCTTTGTCGTTGGCCAAATGGAAAGCGATTTGTCTGGTTTTAGCTAATAATTTATCAGGCCCCACCGCCCGTCGATCAGTCAATCAAGCAAAGCCAAGGCAAACCCAACAACAGCCCAATCCCAGACAAAGCCAAAGCCAGAGCTAGAGCCAGAGTCAACTTCTCTTTGTGTCTGTCTTTGTGTTTGCTGTGTTGATTGCCTTGGTCATGGCTCCAAGTGATCAACGCCTGTAGACAGCCGAAAAGTGTTTGCTGGCAGGTGGGCGTCGGGATCAGGCTGTGTGGCGGCTTGGCCTCTGACTCGGGCTTAATTAGGAGCCTCGCAGAGTGGATCCGATCTGCGAGTGAGCCCACCAATCTTCGACACTGTCTGCGGGCATTAAAATCAATTTATGCACAAACAAGTCCAAACGATTGAAGTCAGACACGAGGGCAGATTGAAGAGTGTCGCTGCCAGGCATTGACATTGCCATGATTGAGTTCAAATGTGGACAATGGTGGGTAGACAGTAGACGTAGGAGAACTGTTTTGTATCCTTGTAGATGTATTTCTTCCAACCAAAAACCTACTCCCAGATCGACTCTCGCTGTGATGAGGTGAGCAACCAGGATGCCCACCAACGGCCAAGTGACGGGACAAAAACATTTGTTAACACTTTAACGAGTTATGATTCGGTCTGGCTACGTCTCTAGCTGCAGCTCCTGCCTTCCGGCCATTTGGGGACGGGACGCGGTCTGTGTGTGTGTGCTTGTGTGTGTGTGGGGGCTGGGGCAATTAAAGTTGCACATGTAAAAGTAAATTGATACGGCACTCAATCATCATTTTACTCTCTGCCTCTTCACAGCTCCCCGACTGGATCACAACAACAACAACGAGTGGCGTCCGTTGGGCCATGGCGATCCACTGCAAAAGGATCCAACCTATGACTACAGTCCACCCGCCCTGGACAGAGTGCGCTATTGGGCGGAGAACAATGGCACAGGACAGAGTAATCCAGAGGCAAGGAAGAAGGAGCTGCCGCCGGAGGTGTTGCGGAACAAGACAAAGAGTGAGATCCTGCTGCTGGGCGTGGCCAGTGAGCGGGTGAGGGTGCCACATTCGCATTCCTATCCGGGCATGGGCTTGGGACAGCATCAGCAACAGCAGCAGCAACTGGCGAAGTATGCGGCAATACGAAGGAGTTACTATGCTCCGCCACAGCAGCAGCAGTTGCATCAGCAAATTCAACAACATAATCAACAATTTCAACAACAGTATACACAAAAGCATCAACAACATGCACAGAATCCACCGCAAATCCATGCACAAAGTCAACAACATTCACCAACTCAACAACAACTTCAACAAAATCAACACCAACATCTGCATCAATTTCAACAACAACAACAACAACAACAGCACATGCCGCCCACACATTTAATGCCACCGCCAATGATGATGATGAAAACGGGCTCTGGCTCCGGCTCTAGCTCCGTGGATTATCGTCACAGCATGCCGGGCGGCAGTCCGGGATCCATTTCGGGTTCACCCAGCATGAGCACCTCCTACATGAGCCACATAAACCACATGAGTTCGCCGACACCCAAGCAATTCATGACCGCATCGATGGCCTATCATCCGTCCTACACCTCCTGGCACTCCTCTGCTCCCATTGGCGGAATGTCCAGCATGCCGCCACATCGCTTGAGCTACGCCGATGCCCATCACCAGGAGTCCATGCAGCACTACAGCTTCAGCTCCAGGCCCCACCAGACGGTGAGCTATTCGCCCAACTCCCTGGCGGGACATCTGGGTGCTTCGAAGGCGTCTCTGAGGAAGCCCTGGCTGCACGAGCTCCTGCAGAAGGAGGTGGTGGTCAAGGCGAAGGTAAAGCCCACCATGCCGGCCACCAAGTACCTGATGGGAACGAGCAAACCGCATCAGGCCCTGCCACCGGCTGGCTATGGCATTAGTTCCACGCGTCCACCGATGGCCTACGCACCCGTGACCTTTGTGCCGGGTCCACCCACCATTGCAGTGCCCACGGTGGCCAGCAGCCTGGGCCAGGAGATCTACATCACGCCCACACCACAGACCAGCAGCAGCTCCGGCTTCCGACCGATGCTGATGACCAGTCCAACCAGTTCCACCTCCGTCTCCATGCCAATGACCACGCCTACGTCTCAGCCTATTTATCTGCGCCCTGGAAGCAGCAGCAGCACCACCACAACGACGACGACGACGACGACGACTAACAACCGCCTGCTGATACCACAGACGAGTAATCTGGCCCAACGTCCCACAGTGGCACCCGCGCCAGAATCCACCACCGACTCACTCTTTTCGCACTATAAGCAGCCGCCAAAAGCGCTGCTCGGACCCATGTATCTCATCATCGAGGGTCACTCCAAGGTCAAGACCTATGGCCAAAACGAACTGGACCCCCACAGTCCGAAGATAGTGCCGGTAATCTCCAAGAGAGAACCTGTCGTACGTACCGCAGACCCCAACGAGAAACGTGGGACAGTGGAGACCTTTCAGGTCAAGCATTTGCATACAAAAACAACGCCAATGACGACCACTACACCGAGACCTACGACAACAACCACAGAAAGGCCAGTCACCAGCAGTAGTTCCACGAGCAAACCCACCCAAAGAACAACCACAACTCCATCTGTTCCGAGGACCTCGACAACTCCATTTACAACTCCTCCACCATCGACAACTCCATCGACTGCTCCTCCGCCCAGTGGCGTCAATGATTTGCTGAGCCTGTTGGACAACATGTTTGCCGATGTCCATGAGATTGGCTCCTCGACAGCGTCAGCGTCAGTGGCAGTCCCAGCCAGCAGCACCACGAGCACCATCCTGAAGCCGGTGAGCACCAGGCTGCTGCCGCAGCAGCCAGAGCCACGTATTGGCAGTCAAGCGGGCAGCATATCGAGTGTACTGGGAAATGATGAAGCTGGCGAGGATCTGGGGTCAGAGCTTGCCACCAGCACGGAGCTGCCGCTGCGGGCAACGCGTCAGGTCTTTGACTATGATCAATTGCCCGAGTCAAGGGCCACGGCCACAACCGACATGGAATACAATGATGAAGATGATGACGAGGAGGAGGAGCTGGAGGAGCTGGAGGAGGCGAATTTTGATGCCACCTCTGGCAGTCAGCAGGAGGAGAAGGAAGAGGATGAGGAGGACAACGAGCACAATCTACTCAAACGCATAGACAGATTCGTGGACGATGTGGACGATGGAGAGGATGATTTAGAGGATTTGATTGAAGGCCTGTCCCCGGGCGTCGAAGACGATGAAGAGTCGTACGATGTGGAGGGAGAGGAGAGACGACAGCAGCATTAGCCTAAGAGGAGACGAAATTTCTTAACTGCGCTCTATACCAAATCTATCAGAAACTTTTCTTACACTTAAATGTTTTTGTAAATAAGTCAGCTTTAAATGGAGGAGAACCAAACCGATCCGATCTGTATCCGTATCTGTATCTGTATCTGTATTTATTTGTTGTTAGTTGTTAGGACCTGCTGACGTCACAATGTGACTGCAAAGTTAGTTACCAGTAATTTAATTCATTGAAATGTCGTTTGTTTTGTAGTTCTTATTGTTAGTGCAATAAAATAAAACATTAAAATTTTATTTTGATTTTCTTCTACTTGAATGTTAGTATGCGACACCTATCGAGGAGATCATGCAGCAATGATGCCGCCATCTGTTAAAGAACTGCACAAAGCTTGTCGAGTGAAAGCTCATTTGAAAGCTTTGTGAATTGTATAACAATCGATCGCACTTTCGCGCTCCTCTTGAAATATCGATTGAATGCAAGGTGAGCTGTCACAGTGAGGTAGTGCGATGAAATAAATCAAACTTGTAAAGGTGGCTGCTGAATGGATGAAACTGTTAAAGCTCGCTGCTCTGCAGCTAGCAAAGCTGACTGAAAAATAAAATACAACATATCTTAAATATATCTTGAGTTCTCCAGAACATAGGAATCGATGACATAAATTTTGTGATAACAAATGCTGACCGTTTTGGTTGAAAACGTAAAACGCAAAAGTAAGTGAAACCCGGAGCCGCCCGTTTGTTTATTTCCAGCATTGCTTCCAAGCGCCAAGCGTCAATCGAGATCTCCACGCCGCCCCAAACGCACACAGTGAACAAACCGCTGCTGCTTCCAGAATCGGAAAACGTTCTCTCTCTCGCTCTCTCTTCTGGCACCCGTCGTGTCGTGGGTAAAGACAACAAACAACAAAGTGCAAATTAAACTAAATTGTATGCAAAGGTGCCCGAAAAATACACGTAAATAAATTAATTGTTTAACAAAGGGAGTTTTGGTGTGAAGTCAAGTTCATGGAGCTTCCAGTGAGAAGCTAAAATTAAGTGAGAGAGTGGGCAACTTTTTTGTTTACTATCCACGGTGGATTCTTCGCTTTCGCTTTCGCTTTTAATTTTCCTTTTCCTTTTGTTAGGGGGGAAGGTTAATGAATGCCGTAAATGGGGCACCGGCCACCAAATGAAGAGTGAAGAATTGCATTTCTACGAAACGGAACTTACGGAATATGTTTCACTTATAAATAACAGTTATATGAGAACAAAAGTAACAAAAGCACTGAAGAAAAGTGACCGAAAACACGTGCTGCCACAGTTTATGACTCAATTTCCCCCACCTTGGAACGGGGTTCTTTCTGATAAAAGTGAAACAAAACTTTCGTGTTTAGTTGTTGCTACGATAACACTAATAGTTTTTTCAATTCAAATGCCATTAGAGCGGCGGATAGTGACACAAATACCACAAATCTGTTTAATTTAATAAAGACCATATATAATAGAAATCATATATTAGTGAAACTATCTCCCTGGCAGCTCTCTTCAGCCTTCAGGCATCAGACATCAGTGTATTGTGCGTAATCAGATAATGACTAGCTATACATGAGCATAAAGCGAAAATAACCTTGATCCGGGGCCAGACGAGGCTCTGAGGAAACATATTTCGGAAATGTGACGCCGCCGCGGCGTCGTTGTCTCTGCCAAAACAAAACAAGAAGCTAATCGTTGGTTGGCCGAAGCTTTTGATACCCTTGCCAAGATCCATGGTCATTCCATTCGTTCAACCATCAACCATGATTCATATAAAAACCCCTTGAATAACCTTCCTTAACAATGGAGCAATGGACCACAAAGAATTTTAGTAGTGCGGTTCTGTGTAAATTTTCAGAATAAAAGGGCCATTCAAGGTGAATGAAGGGTATCCATTAAATATCGTAATAACCACCTGAAAGGGTATCATGAAACACAACAAACTTCTATTGCCAAAAACCTGTTCGTGTTTTGTGCGTGCTAAAACCCAAACAGAGAGACAAAGCGAACAGTGGAGAGTGAGCGAGAGAGGGGCCAAAGAATAACGAGCGAGAAATAGGGAAATACAGTGATGGAGATAGAGACCTGATCGGAAAAAGTGTCTGTGTAAACTGTAGGAAAAACAAAGTGTTCGCTCATTCCAATAGGAAAATGCCAGCTGTGTGCGTTTATCAGTCGACGGCGGCAAATGTCAGACTGCCGCTGATAACACAACGTTTAGACGTAATTTTCAATTGATAAGCGAACGCGAGCCGGCAAATTTTTAATGCTTCATTTGTTTCTTCCTATGTATGTCCATGCCTCTTGTGCGGGTTCGCATCCGTTTTACAATGTAAAAAGTGCGAGTAGGGGAGGAACATTATGATTGGGAGTGTGTGCCCTGACCAGACATGTCTGGCGGTGGACTGAATGCCTCCTGGCAACATGATTAGCGGGGTACTTATGCAATCAGTGAACCGCTAAAGCCGAATGATAACCTTTATCATCAATGTGTTTTTAATGCTCCTCGATCCGAGGCAAAAGTTGATGAAAATATTTGAATTACTGACCTACTTATCGCTGCTGCCTGCTGCCCCTGGTTGGAAGAGAATTCTTCACCATTTACAGGGAACCGGTTCGTTCGGACGGACTGCCCACTGCAGTAATTAACGGAGTACGTAGTATCACACAGTAGCTCAGACCGGAATGTTTGTCGATGTACAAAAAAAACACACACACACAAGGAAAGGTCGCTTCATACATTGCATTTGAATCAGCTTTAGGTTTGTTTGTATGAAACAAGGAACACTAACTATGAGAAGTATACATATGTAATCAGGGTAGCTAAGAGATCAGGGGATCTGATCGGTATCAGAGATATTAAGGCATGGCATAGAAAAACCACAACTGTAGGGTAAGAGCCAGAGCCAAGCTTATCTTGAAACAGATACAAACATATGTATGTATGTACATATGTATTGTGTATAGACTATAGCACGATAAGTGTCGTATAAATATAAACCGAAAGTTCAACAAACTAAGCGTTAAACCGCAGAAGCAATTCGATGCAGGTTCTTCTCGACATGCGGGAGACAATTGAGTACAAATACATATCCATATGTACAGACAGGAAAACATACATATGTATGTATGTATGTTGTACATATTTTCAACCAGTGAATGTACGCATGGCTTTACTGTATCTGTCCTTTACACCGAGTTGTCATTACTTATGACTTCCTCGCACTGATGAGCCATGACGAGTTTCGCCGACTTCTGGATGACGTTGCGTCACCATGACTTGACTTTAATCATTCTGCATTCTGTATATACTCGTATACTAACGCGCGGAATATGTAAATTCTTACAAATGTGTGTACTTTGTGTCTTTCTTTAAGGTTGGATCAGTTCAATGGACTGAAACTGAATGAATGAATATGTTAAAGTAGTGCTGCAATATCTTCAAGAAAGTCTTTTTGCCAAGGAACACAGTTTGAAATAAACTAAACAAAATTGGTGCAAAAAACCTTCACTGTACTTCCATTATACGTTTTCAATCTACACTTTTTTATTATCTTCACAGTAGGCCTCTTGTTTAGAAACGCAGTTTAAAGTTTTTCATTTAATGCAATAAAATACACGATAAGAAACTAACTATTTAATGAACTTTGATACACTAAAGTCAATAAGTTAAGATATCAGTAGATACGAAAATGCATGCACAAACGTTTATATACATTTTCAGTGCATAAGTATTTGTAAGATACTTCTCAACTAAAAATCTCGTATATGTACCCACGAGTATGTGGTATATATGACTATTTTTCCATTGGAAATGACGTAGATTTAGTTACTCAAGTATGCGTTCAGTTCCCATAGATAACCCTCAAATTTCGTCATTTCATTCGTATATATTGGAAGCGAATAATAATTGCTTAAACAACAATTTTCTATTGAAATCTTGGAGCTGGAGATTGCATAAACAAGTTACGTGAATACGAAAACTAAATTTTAGCTAAAAATATAATTTGCAGATATAGTAATTTTATTAAGGGCCAAATGAATCGGGAACGCATATGCAGTGGAGCGGGAGAAACTATCATTAGAAGTAAGACCTCTCGTAGAATCATCACTTGCTTTAAAGCTGATAATCATTTGGTGAACAGCAACTTAACATGCGATCTTGACTCGTTACGTACTTGTAAAAACTTTGCAACTGGGTTTTGCTTGGTTAATGCGAGAAGTAATAGTCGAGCGACCTTTTTATGGAACAGATCATTGAGGGGGTACAATGTCTATGCAAATGGTAGTATCTGTTTTCCTAATCAGCGATCAAGTAGCCAGACGAACTCTGACCACAAAAGCCACTGAATCGGATTCCACAATACTCAGTCTGTATCTGTGCACCCATCGAATTTCTCTCGCTAAACTGTGTACCAAGCTAATCAAATGGATTACCAGTAACTTTGACCGATAACGAGCTCTCTGCAGATTTGTTGTGGTCAATCTATATCAACAGCTATTTCTGTGGCCCAAATTTTGAGTTCTTCAATGGGGGGTACCAATCAAATCTTATCTTACATTGCATTTTTAGTGGCCAACTGGAATTCCAGATAAGATTGCTCATTTATTGAAAAACTAATCAACATAAAACACTTCTAAACCTTAAAGAATAACCACGCAACCATGACAACCACAAAAGATCCTCAGGAAAAGGGGGCCCCAAAAGTAGAGCACGAAAGGAATGGACTCATGAAGCGTCTCAGGCGTTCAGCCTCGGCCACGGAACATAATCTGACCAGTCTGAGGAACCGCAAGTCCACCCAGAACCTGTTCGATCAGCATGGGAATCCCATTGATCTGCGACAGTATCGAAAAGTCTTGGACAAAGACGAGAACGGCAATGGAACGAAGACGCGCTATAGACGCACCCAGAGTGTTACCCGAGCCGAGGAGATCTCCACTAAAGAAGAGAAGCAGCGTAGGGCACAGCCCGGCAGACCGTGAGCGTGGAAGATCACTGAAAAGGGGGGAATATATTATCGAAAACTATCACTTTCAGTATCCATCGACCCCGCGATTCGCTGTTCTCTTGGAGTTCGGGCTTTACCAATTTCACGGGTCTAGTCAACTGGGGTTTCCTGCTGCTCTGCATAGGCGGTCTGCGCTTAGGTCTGGAGAATCTGCTCAAGTAAGTCATATACAAGACCTCAATTATAGCACATTTCTAAGAATATCTTTGTAGATATGGTGTACGCATAAATCCCCTGGACTGGTTTTTTTTCATCAGCGGTCGCAATGAGGGCGAGGGCCACAATGCCCTCATACTGAGCCTTTGTAAGTCTTATGCTAAATATATTTGCAACCCAAACACATGTCACATCGTTATATTTCGTTTCAGACTCCATGGTTCACATTTCTCTGTGTCTGGCTGTGGAAAAGGGTCTGGCAATGGTAAGTACTCACGTAGATAGGTTCGGGCGCAAGATTTTGGCAATGGCAATTTGAATGATTGAAGAAGCCGCAGCATGTTGCTAGTGGTATATGGTTATTGGTTGCACTTTGCTAATAATTTTAGAGACTCGTAAGTTTTATTTACAAAAAAATAACAATTGTTTTTAAAAATGAAAGGAATTGTTAGGCAACTGTGTCCAGAGTCTAGACGAAATGGGTTAACATTGAATTGGAATATATTGATTTTTGATTTTGCGGTTCGTCTTTCTTTTGAATCTCTTACACTATAGCTGGAGATTATATTTAATAGATCTGATATATCCAATTAACGTCAAAGAAAGCTTCCCGCTTTGTTTTAAGATCATTTACCCCTCTAATCATTTATTTATTTGGATTTCATTGAGGCATTTAGTTTAGGGATGCTTTAGGGAAATGAAAAGGTAAACAGTTTCTTCTCTGAAAAGTCAACACAAGATTTTGAATTGTTGAACCCTTTTCAACATTTGATAAGCTTGGAGTCGGACTCAGAATACTCGCACAACATATTATCTACATACACCTTTTAGTCACTTAAATCTCTCATCTGCATATGCATAACGTAACTGTTTATTGTTCGGACAAGTACACTATAACATAGAAACGAAAACAAATTCATGGTCTGCAAAAATAAACAGCATGAATGAGTGAGTGATTGAACGAGATAGATAGATAGATGGAGGATAGCTTTTCTGTTGCATGTAAAAATATATGTAGAAAGGTATGCGAATGTATGGCGAGGTGTGATTCGTGATTGGCGATTAAATTGCGGGTCATCATTCTTTCATTCCTCAGACAATGCGTACGCCGGCTTGATCACAGTATTTCTGCAAGATCTGTTTGTAGTCCTGTTCGAGGGGGCCCAATAGGTTGGTAAGCTCTCCGGGTCGCTTCTGCGAGTACTTGGACAGTGCATTGACCAGAAATTGTCGTGCATCGGTAATTTCGGCCAGGTGGTCCTGCTGCTTGGGCTGGGCATGGGTGAGCTGGGCAAAGGCCACTTGATAGCCCGCATCGGGATCTTCGGCCACACCGCCAACAATTTCAGCACCCTCAATGCCCTTCAAAGACTCTAGCGGATGCTCAAACATGTCGATTAAGGCGTGAAGCAGTCGCGGCCAGAATTGGGCATATTGTGGCAAAACCATTTCCGGGGTTTCGGTTAGAAGTTTGGTCACACCCACGGCCACCATTTTGCGATCCAGTTCCTTGATGACCTTTTGCAGATCTGTGATAAAAATGCGTTCCAACAGCATGCCGAACATGTTGGGTTGGATTTCGTCTATAAGCTTTGCCAGATGACTTCCATCCGCCTTGATCACATAGAAGCAGAAGAACACAATGATGCCGGAGATGTATTTGGGCGTCTTCGACAGCGACAGTCGCTGAAAGAGCAGCCCAAAGATCTGACGCATACTCGATTGCATTTCAGCGGCCGGATAATAGGAGAGAAGATTCTGCAGCAAATAGAAGCCTTCGTGGTCGTTGGCCTTCGAGGCAATCATTTTTTGGAAGATGCCCAAAATGCCATTCTGCAAAAAAAGGAAAGGCAGTCAATCATAATTGAAATATTTAAATATATTTAGAGCATATACCAGTTTTCCCATGGCCTGAATCTGGGCAGCACCCTGCTTCACAAAGGCACAGATGAGACGAATCAGAGGCGTCACATTGCCTGTTCGATCCCACAGGGCGGGCGATAGCAGGCAAGGAAACAGCGCCCAGTAAGGCTCTGGAATAGAGCCGCTGCCCTCGCGTACTTCCAGCAAAACCGAGAGCATCTGAAAGACGTAGGGCATAAACTCGACAATATCCTGCTGCAGTATGCCCTGGAAAACTGGGAACAAAGCCTCCTCGAAAGAGCTGACAGCCGAGGCATCTGCCTGGCAGACGATTCTAAAGAAAAAATTAAATTAGTTTGGCAATCAAAGAGAGAGGTGAAGCACTTACTTTATGGACAGCGCCAGCGTTTCGAAGAGATAATGATTAAAGTGCGGACGTGATGGATTCTTGGCCACTTGGGTTAAGATCTCAGTGAGTCGTGGCAGAGCCACTCCCATGAAAGGCATAGAAGCGCCCTGCAGCACAAAGAAGCTTCGCATAATTGCTGCAAACAAAAACAATCATTAAAAGTTAACAGAAACTAACTATTATATGACTTACCCTTCATCACAAATTCATTCTCTGATGCTCCGGGCATCTCGAGTGTGGCAAAGAGTCCACTAATCAGTGAATTCACATGTGGCGCCAGTACCTGGGGTCCAAACACAATCCCATTGCTGGCATCGCGCATGGCCAGAATCTTCTCCACGGAACAGGCGGCATAGCTGTGAACCACAATGCTTTCGGCTGGCAGATGGCGTATGAGCTGCGGCAGGCAGTTGGCCAGCACCTGGGGGCCCAGAATGCTGCGGAAGACCATTATATACTTGATGGCGGCTGCCTTCAGCACTGGTATTTCATTGACTAGTAAAGGGGACATAAATTAGACCACAAATAATGGTACAGACTCTTCGTTTTTCCTTACTATTGGGTCTCTCTAGCTCTGGTATTATCTGCGTGGCACAGAACTCTGGCAGCGGCACCAAATCTGAGGTCTGTGTGATGCCATGCTTCTTGGTTCCGCCTCGCGATGCCCACGAGGTGACCAGATAGATGGCAGTGTCTTTTGAACGCCAATTGGCCGCCGGATTCTCCTTGTACTTGGCGAGCAAGATCTCCAAATATTGGCTAAAAATGCCAAAGATCTTTTGCTCATAGTTGAGGGACAAACTCTTCACGAGATCACAGGCAGCACGGCGGCGGGTATCAACGTCCGAGCCCTCAATATCCCGACGAATATACTCTTCGGGACTGTCTTCGAACAGTTCCTCATCGGAGGGCCGAATGTCCAGATTGGGAATGACAACTTTCTCGCAAATGCGTGCCAGAATCTCTGGATTTTCGAAAATTCCCTGATAATTCTTTCTCTCAGCAACCACGGTGATAAATTGCAAGGCATTCGACACCAGCTGGGAATGGAATATCGAGAATTCAGTCATATTTTTAGTGCTATTTAGAAGCTGCAAAATCTTACCGAATCGTTTTTAGTATTGAGACTGGTTTTGACCAGCAATTCCCAGACTGCAGTCACGAATTGCTCCATGAACGGCTTAAATTCCTCATCATACTTCTTCGCATACAGACAGATATTCTCGCAGACTTGCGAGCGCAGAAACTCCAGCACACCGGGATCATCGTCATCGTCTCTGCTGAGAGCTGGGACATTGACGGCCAGCTGCTGAATGAATGCACCCATCCAAATGTTCATGTTGTCCTCAAAGAACTCGGGCAGATCCTGCGAGTTGAGCGAGAAGAACACCTTGTTGACCAGCACCAATGACCCGTAGATGACCTTCAACGCCTCCATGTTGTTCTCGTGCACTTTGGTCAGCTGCATGGTGGCCTGCAGTAGGTCTGTGAGGGGCTTGGCCATGCGGTCGAGAACAAACTTGATCTCCTCCCACAGGGCTTGCGATTTGAATTCGAATCGATAGCGCTTGAACAGCGAATGTGCCGTTTGTAGGACGCCATTGATCTCATTGAAATCGCCCGAGTCGAACCTTTGGACCATCTCGTCGATCATTTGCGGCCATTTTTTAGGGAAATCATGCTTGCCAATGATGCTCACGGCTTCGCTCAGCTGTTTCTGCAGCGGCACAGGGGAGTGCAGCATAAGAGTAACAATCAGAGACTTGATGGTGTTGCGATCACTTTCGTGAATGCGATCCGGCCCATCGGTGTCCTCATGCGCTGCCCAATTCCGTTTCACATAGTTTTTAAATGCAATGGCGCCGGCTATACTCGTGGTCATGTCCATTTGCGACTTGTCGATGAGATTCAGCAGCAGCACTGGATAGTTTTGCTGCAGTTCGGTAGCCTCTAGCAGCTTTTCAGCTGTAATATAAAAAAGAAAGACGCTGTCATATTATTGAATTCATATTCTATCGAGGCGTCGCCTATGGCATTTCCCGCGCACACCACACGCCGCAGATTCCAATACACTTACCCGGCCGGCGTACGTTTGGATCGGCGCTAAGCGTCTGCTGCAAATAACCGGCCAGAAGTTGCAAATTTGCATCGGTTACTTCCATTTTGATTTTAGTTCTTTATTAGCCTTTGTTTAAACTAAAAGATGTCACTGGATAGCGCGTTGTTCAACAGTTATTAAGAGTTTTACAAAATAATATGAAATCGCAAAAATGAATGGCCTTTTCGCAAGCAGTGTGACCGCGGATTTATCGACAGCATATGCCGTATGACCCTCTAAAATATACCGCGATATACCTTCTCATTCTGCAAATATACCGTAAATATTCCGATGCCTGGCATCGTTTTATGGCGCCTTGAGATAACAGCGTAGTAAACGATCACTCTTTATATATTTTTAGGAAATAATTGCCGAAGGTCTTGGCATCTTCATACAGATAGTAAACATAATTGTGCTGGTATGTTTGCCCGTTGTAATTATACACCTGAAAGGCCACGCATTCAGTTTAAGTGAGTAACAAATGCAAATTCCTTCCAGCAAATGATTAACTCAAATCTCCCCCTTCACAGTGGGCGCCTCAACCGTGTGCTTCTTTTACTCGATCCTGTTCCTAAAGATCTGGAGCTATGTGCAGACCAATATGTGGTGCCGACAGACTTACTACCAGAAGAATCCCCGCGAACGCAGGCCCAGCATCACGCTGGCGGAACTCAGTAAGTTGAGCTCATCGAAAGTGATGCCTTGAATCAAATTTATGTGCTGTTCTTTTTTCTTTAGAAAACGGTCACTTGGATGGCGGAGATGATGATGAAGCTATACCCAAGCTGGTGCAGTATCCCGACAATCTCAGCTACAGAGATCTGCTCTACTTTCTGTGCGCTCCCACTTTGTGCTATGAACTGAACTTTCCCCGCACAAGCCGAGTCCGCAAGCGTTTCCTTTTGAAGCGCTTGTTGGAGGTCATTATTGGAGTTCATGTAGTCATGGCCTTGTTCCAGCAATGGATCATTCCCTCGGTGCGCAACTCCCTGATACCATTCTCAAATATGGATGTGGCCCTGGCCACAGAGCGTCTCCTTAAATTGGCGGTTAGTATGCGGATTGGCTGCAGTATTTATGCAGAGTTTATAAACTGTGTTCC